TCTATCATCTATCATCTATCTATCATCTATCTATCTATCTATTCATCTATCTATCTATCTATCTATCTATCATCTACCTACCTACCTATCATCTATCGTCTGTCTATCATCTATCATCTATCTATCTATCTATCATCTATCTATCTATCATCTATCTCTCTCTCTATCTATCATCTATCTATTGTGTGTGTGTGTGTGTGTGTGTGTGTGTGTGTGTCTGTGCATGCTACAGTGTGCAAGTAGTGGTCTTCAAGAGTTTGTTCTCTCCCTTTATCATGTAGGTCTCAGGATGAAGCTTAGGTTGTCAGGCATTGTGGGAAGTGTCTTTACCCACTGAGCCATCTCTCTGGCCCTGACTTGGAATTTCTTATAAAGGCCCTCATTCTTTTATTTATTTATTTTTATTTTATGTTAATGTGTGTATTGCCTGCATGTGTGTAAGTGGACTGGTGGTGTGCAATGCCTGTGGAGGTCAAAAGAGGGCACTGTATTCCCTGGAACTGGAGTTATAGATGGTTGTTAGCCAACATATGGGTGCTGGGAATTGAACCTGGGTTCTCTGCAAGAGCAGCCAATGCTCTTAACTGCTGAGCCATCTCTCCAGTTGGCAAATACTTCCTTCTTAAAGATGATGCTCAGAGCAGAGATTGTGAGGTTTATACCAAACCCAGTGTCAAAACCTTGCTTTTCATAAAAATTTAAGTTGTTAATTAGTAGAGGTGATAAACATTACTATTGAAATCTACCCGATGACTTCATAGACATACACAGGTGCCAAGGATCCGAGTGCAACCAATTATGACTAGTAATAATCAGATACATACAGATTGCATGCACCAACATCTCAGTGTTATTAGCAAAAACAATGAGTCTTTCTGTAAGAAACAATATATTTTAAAATGAAATGGAGATCTTTTTAAAGGTTAAAAACTCATTCAGTTTTATGTCTTACAGGGTTTATACTGAGTTCAATATTGTATAACTGTTTAATTCAACAGTGAACCTAAAAATGTTATAGCCACTTTTGAAAGAGATCTATCTTTGCTCTGGAAACTGTTATTATGTTAAAGCTATAATGAAATGCTTCTAAAAATTTTTTAAAAAAAGAAAAAAAAAGCTTTGATTTTACATGGGTTGGTGATTGTTTTGAATGAAATAGAGGTAGCAAAGTGTGAGCTTAAGAGGAGAACTAAGACCATGTGGCTTATTTGTTTTGGCTAATGTGGCAGCAAGTGGGTCAGATAGTAGTGGGTATTTAATTCTGTTAAAACACTAATTGTGGATCATATACATGTATTTCAAAGGATGAGTATTGCAAACATAATTTCAAACTGAACCCATGGTTATAAAATTGCTCCTTTTGGTTATTATGATTCCAGACTGGTAGTTGTCACCATTGTAAAGCTACAAAGCATGGCTTCCTTCAAAATAAATACTCATTCAGTTTTTTTCCCCTAGCACTTTGTCCTATACAACAGTATGTAAAATTGAGAAAAAAATTACCCCCAATTCCATTAGAAATAAATGGTCTTCATCTTTAAAGCAAGTCTTAAGGAAGATTTCTATGGCGTCTTTTTCACTGTCCCTGTGCAGGTCCATCAGCTCCTGGAGGGTTTCTGTGGGCAGCTGCACTTTCTGGCCCATCTGCTGGTCATAGTGGGCAATGGCCTTTTGCACCGCAGCTGAGTTCTCTATCTGGGCCAAAGTCAGGACTGCGTTCTCAATGCAGGGCAGGTCTCCACTGTCAATGGCTTCAACATAGGTCAGCACTAGACTCTCTAGACCTTCAAACATGGAGGAAATGATAACATGTATTATAGGTAGAGTGAAGCAACTTATCCCTTCTGTGTAATGAGATTATCTATGAACAGTTGTTCAATTTTCAAAGGCGGCATGAGCATCATTAGGAAGCCTGGCACAAGTGCAGACTGTAAGGTTGTGACTCTGACCCACTGAAATAGAACATTTTTCCTCTGTGGAAAACAAGCATACTAAGCACAGTAGAGGCTGTACATCCCTGTTGCAGAGAAAGAAGGCCTTGCTCGGCACATTAACATGAATCTCTGTGACCTCTAACATTTAAACAATTTTTATTTATTATTTATTTTATTTTATTTTATTTTATTTTATTCTATTTTATTTTATTTTATGTGTATGAGTATATTGCCTGCATGTGTGTATGTGCACCCATGTCATGTAGGGTCTGCAGAAGACAGAAGAGGGCATCGGATCCCCTTGAACTGAAGTTATGGATGGTTGTTAGACACCAAGTGGGTGCTGGGATTCAAACCTGGGTTCTCTGCAAGAACAGCCAGTGCTCTTAACCACTGAGCCATCTCTCCAGCCCCCTAGCCTCCAGCATTTTAAGAATAAGAATATCTTCTTTTTACTCAGTCCTCTGTATCAGGCCCATGGTAAGGCTTTAATTAATTATGTGTGGAATAAATAATATTTTCCTTATCAGAAAGTGTTCTTACTTGGTTCATTCTTGTCTTATAGAACTTTTGAGGTGAATTAACTGTTTGATGACTCTGCTTTCCATCTTGGTAATAATGAAAAATAGCTCTTGAGCTTATGAAATAGGACTATCTAATATGAATTTTCATTTTTAAATAATTTTTATTTAAATTTAAGGAACTACACATGCATCTGTTGGCTGCTAAATAACTGTAAGCTCAACTTGGCACAACAATATTAAGGACAGAGCTACTTAAAGTTGGCTTTCACTATCTGTTCTCCATATCACATTTGACTAATCAAAAACCACTGAATATTAGTTAATATTTTCTGGAATTTAACACGAATACTCATAGCCCTTACACTTCTGAAAAGTAAAACAAAGTGGCGGCTTCATCCTCCCTCCGCCTTGCAGGGAGTGAGGACTGGGAAGGAGACTCACGTGAGCCGTTGACCTTGAGGCCTCCCGGCAGAGTTTTAACCTTGGAACTGCTACTGATGTAGCAACAGAATTCTGCCACTTGCTGCAAAAACTCAGAATCGATCTCGTTTTCTTGCAGGGTCTCGAGCTCACGGAGTTTCTTCCACTCGGTGGGTGGATAGAAGACAAAGCATTTCTTCTTCGGGAAGAACTTTCGAATACAGAGTCGGGGCAGGTTGTATTTTTCAACTTCTTCACAGGT